TTTCTTGGCTGATCTCTGTACTTTCAGGACACGATTGGAAATACTGCCATTATTTTGGTGCAAATCCAATCGCACCAATCAATGCCAGAAATTCATTAATTCCGGTTTATAAAATCATTCATTATTTGGTCCTAACCCTTCCATAGCTAAGGATTTTAATTTTAATTTAAAATTTTAATTAATGTCGTTGGCAGATAAATATATCGAGGCCATACAAGGAAAGCGACATGTGACCTTTGCGGATGAGCAAACGGATTGGTCCCCCATTCAGAGGTGGCTTTCCATCAAGGATGTTAAAAAGACAGAGGAAGAGCTGGGCATAACATGCCGAAGGGGCAAGTTTTCTTCCAAAGAAAATGAATGCATCCGCGAATTTGTCCAAAGCTATTTCAAGAACCGCGAGGAAGAATACCAGCTTTTCATTGATCAACTTGTCACACGAAAAAACAAAATGCGGGACACAATAGGAAACATATTTGTCGAGGCAACTAAAGCACTTAATAATGGCCGACCCGTCTTTGCGGTTTATGACCACATTCGTCGTTTGTATCACCCAAATAACTATACGGGCTGGACGCCCACCGAAGACGAGCATCTTAAGCGACTAGTTTCCGTACATGGTCCAAATTGGGAGCAAATTGGCCAGCAGCTGCAAAAGCTCTCCATCAACTGCCGTGACCGCTACAAGATTATTCGCCTCAGCTACATTTCGGGTAAAATATTCGTCTTATTTGTAGGAAAGTGGTCCGAAGAGGAAGTAGAGCGGCTCAAAAGCATCATTTCAGAGTTAACGCGCGACGGAATGCGCCCGGCCCGTGGGCTGTGGATTGTTGTCTCTGAGAGGATGCAAACAAGATCGGTTCTCCAGTGTTTTGACAAGTGGACCTCGCTTAGCTACAAGAAAACGCCGCCCGTTCATTTTTGGTCACGTTTTGAGGACTTTAAGCTCATCAGTGCCATATATGAGCGGTGTTACGCAGAAGAATCGGAAATAATCTGGCGAAACCTGACAGACCCCTCCTATTCTGCTCGCACACCAACGGCATGTAGAAGTCGGTGGTTGGTCCTGAAAAAGCGGGTGCCACGACGGATGATACTAACTGGTGATTTCGACTCGGCCCTCGAAGAATTACTTCGCCAACTTCATCCTGGCTCCTCAGATTGGGAGTCTATCCCCGAGTAAATATAAAGTAGAGCGCCTGATCATAATAATGGAATAACTTAATCACTAAAGCCTTCCCCCTCCCAAAACAACGTCGCCATTAGATATTTTATAACTCTAGAGGGGTTTGTTGAGCATAGCAGAGGCCCATTGGTATTGCCGTCGCATTTCTGCCATTTCAGCATCGGTAAAATCCGTCTCGATATTGAAAAGCGCTCTAATTTCATCGGGATGCTTGCCCCTGATCATAAGAGCTACCTGCTTGCATCCGAGCTCAATGGCCTCTGGAAAGTCGAGCAGATTGGCAAGATTGATAAAGTCAATAAGGGTCTGTTGATCGAGTATATAAAAGAAATCGGAAATCCACTTGTGGCACTGAGCAGCTAGACCGTTAGGCGCTCGAGCTTCGCGTGCAATCCATGCCTCGATGAGTGGCTTGCTGCGCTTGGGCAAAGAAGCGGCTGGTGGTCCCGCATTTGGATCCTGGCTTGCAGAAAACAAGACAGATCCAAATTGGGGACCAGATGCATCTGCTCCGGCCACATAACAGATGCATCCCCGCCGTTCGTGCAGCTCGGAGGCGAACTGGAGCAGGAGTAACAAGATCGGGCTCTGCACCGCACTTAGCGGCAGGATTGCCTCTTCATCGCACGCAGAAAAGCGGCGCATTTTATCAAGAGTGCTACAATGTGCAAGAAAGAGGTCATCTACAGGGACAACCTCGCCATCTTCTGTTCGGATGAACATGAGCAGAAAATAAATTATTTAATTGGCTGTAAAATTAATAAATTATACTGCCAATTGCAGGGCTCGCACCACATTGTGGTCAATAAGCAATTGAAAACATGCCTCTTTGCAGTCAAATGTAAGCATTTATGCAATATTTTGACGGCAGGCATACTTGGCTGCTTCCGTGGTAATCCCATCAAGGAAGAATGACATGTCTGACCTTATTGCTAAGCGTCTGCTAATAAATAATTTGCAATGGACCAGATATTTTTAGTGCGAAAATTCAGGTCATATTGATGGCCTTTTCTAATACCAAAGTAGCCTTTAGCCATCCACCTTCGCGTGAGAGACATTAAGAGGATGCGACACTGCATACATTTCCGATATCTTTAGCGGGCTTTTAGGGTTAGCAAAGCTATCTAAATCGACATATTTTCCAGAGCCCTGAAAACGCAAGGCTAATTTCCAGCGTTAGAGTATGGTGCCACAATGTAATGATAAATCCGTCAAGTAAAAAATTCCAAAATATTAAATTTTTATTTACTAAAATGACAATCGACTATGCGTGTGGAACAGTGCTTCCTATCCTTGCAAATAAAAATATAACCCTAAGAGATATCTTGAGCGTGGGGACAACTAAACATACGCTTATATTATCAGCCATGCTTGTGGATTGGGATTGGCTATTTGAATCTGTTGGATCCATTCCAATGACAGTATTCGTCGATGGAGCGTGCGGGCTGCCTATTTCGCTTCCAAAGAACAAATGGCTGATGGGGCTTAGGCATCCAAAAAATCCAGAATGCAGAATCTTTGCACCACCGGGTGCGCCCTACTCTAAAATGCATGCCAAATTGGCAATTGTACTGATGGAATCCTTCATTCGCATAATGATCACGTCGGCAAATTTGGTGCAGGGAGATTGGGAAGAGCGGTCTAACATTGCCTATATTCAGGATTTTCCGGCTTCAGATTCTCCCTGTGGGGGAGACTTTGGCATTTCTTTATGTCAGATTTTGAAATCAATGGGATTGTCTGCAGAGTTACTAGATCGGATACAAAATAATTACAACTATGGAAAAGCACTGGTAATTTTCGAGCTTACTAAACTCCTGATGATAGGGCCACCTTATTGCTTCTATTCCCGGATCATATTTGGCAAACTCGGAGGCCGAGTCCACTCTTGGCTTGGGACGACTCTCGTATTTGAGTTCAAATTTACTTTCTCCCTCGGAAAAGTCGAGTTCGACGATTTCTCTTGAGTATCAGGTAGTTTTAAATCGGCAATTTTGTACCCTAGTGTTCATCAATTGGGCCATATACCGCTGCATGGCTTGAAAATCTTTTTGGTCTCCTTTCGGGACCATATAGGTCCAAATCAAAAAAGGGCATCCTTAAGCTCGTTTATCCAAGCGAGGCATCCGTCATTCAATCAGAAATCGGGGCCATGGTAATAACGATGATGGCAATCTTATCAACTTTAGGGGTTTACCTCGCTGTTTTGCTCGTCAAAATCTTGGGCCTCCGATGAATTTCCAGCAAACTCAATGTACCAAGTACAGCCGATATACTCTGTTTATTCGCTCCATTCAAAAGTAACTTGCAAAAGCCACTAACCACAGATCATGACGGTGGAAAGCGAGACTGGACGTGTCCTTTTCACGTATATCGGCTCGCATAATTTCACTCCAGCTGCATGGGGTACTTTTGGTCGATTTAACTGCTTTAGGGAGAATTTCCGGAAAATCGACCGTTATTAAAAATTGGGAATTGGGCATCATTTTTACTGCAAATGTTGCCATTCCCTATACATACTTGAGACCGGCACAAAAATATCTACCAAACGACAAGCCTTGGATGCAATTTTAATTTTATTAATTTTTATTGTTTACAGCTTAGCTGCTCCGATACTGCTAAGGGGGGTTTGTGGAGGTCTCCATGTTTTGCTCCATCAGCTTGCATGAAGAAATGAGTTGCGATATCCGTTTATAGTCAAAATCCTTTGCTTTTTTGGAATTTTCTGACGATAATTCCAGTAAAAACCCAACAACATCTCCAATTTGACACATTTTTTGCCCATAATTGGCGACCGAATTTTCCAACAAAAGCTTCTGCTCCAAAGTCAGCTCAATGGAGAGTGCAGCCATTCCCAGCAATGCGCCATTGGTTTGAGAAAGCCACCATCCCGGTGCCAAATGGTAAACCAAAGCAAGCCTTTCTAGCGTTTTTGCGTGGATATCAAAAATAGTGGGATATGTGGGTGCCAATATCAGGGAAAATCCATAAAGAACATCATAGAATAGCTCGACCCTAAATTGGAACTCCAATGTGTTAGCAAGGTCAATTTCCAGCTGGAACAGGCGATCAATAGGGGGAAGCTTAGAGGCGCTTGCCTGCCCGATTTTGGCAAGGATATCCTCCAATGAGATGTGGACGTTTTCAACCTTTGCTGCAAGGAAAAAGCAAACAAGAGAAATGGCCGCCCCATCATACTCCATCAGCGTCCATTTTTGGTGGTAGAATCTGCAAAAATAAACAACAGCAACGAACTAGTCAATGTGAATACGTATCTCATTACTGGAACGGAGGGCGGGCCATTAAAAAACTTGGCCAGCTCAAACGTCTTTGCTTGGTAAAACAGCAGCATTTTGTCATGTTCCTCAAGCGTCGGAAAAGTGAGCGATAGACCAGGATTTTCGGATTGCAATCTCTACGAGGGTATAACGAAGGGCCACTACATTTTGGGACACGATGTAATCGATGCGGCTCGAGTACCATTGTGCGCGTTCGTCCATGAAAATAAAATTCAAATAAACTTTTTATTTTTGATCAATTCCCAGAACCTCTGGATGCTTGAAGAGAAGGAAATAGTGCAGGCACTCGAATCCAACCTCGATGCAAATCAGCGCTATAATCATCACCTCAAGAAAGTGTGAATGGTTTTCCACAAGTGTGGTTCGCAGAAGGCCTGTAATTTCACCAGCATAGTCCATTTTCTTGTTCAACTGCGAAATTCGGCTTGGTGCCTCCAGATACGAAGATATTTTGTTGTAAATTGTCAACAATGAGGAGGAGTCCCAAAACAAGTCGGGGCTTGAATCCGTCAATTGAAGGCGGGAGTGGTACAAATTTAACTGACCGCGGCAATATATCATCTGGCCCAACGCCTTCAGAGCATCTGTTCGCTTCATTTTGCCAAACGTGCCGGAAAAGGCCAGCTTCATCGCCAAGTCGCGGTGCTTACATTCGGTCAAGTAGTCGTTAAGCAGATGTTCCAAAAATCCGAGCCTTACAGAGCGAGCAAGTGCATAGGAAATTGAGACCCGCTCCAGTAATAAAAAGTCGTGGTCACTCGAAGTCGCCAGGTCCTTGATTGACTTTTCGCTTCTAATGGACGATGAGAGCGTAATGATGTCGTTGTTTGTATTTCCTTCAATCGAACTGGCTTCCTGTTCATTTGCCGATGCAGGAAACGCGCTCAAAGAAAAGACAACATTAATGCCATCAGCCTCCATTGGGCTACAATTAAGCTTGGAAAGGATATCTGAACAGGGAAGGAACGAAGACCGGACCATTGATCTCTGCAGCTGGCTATCGATTTTTTGCGTATTTTGCGGAGAAAAAAACATTTTCTTTCGCTGGAATGGAGTGAAAATCTGGAGAAGGGATTGAAGAAAATCCGGCCTCATTGACTCCAATTGCCAAGTAACCATGCACCCTGCACTGAAGATAAATATTCCGGAAAACGGCGTTTTTCTGCATGCTTCGTTGATCAGCAAGATGTCCTGGGAAATCAACTTTGCACAAAAGAGGGATGGGCTTTTCGATGCTATTGCTTCGCTGATTTCCGGGATCTGGAAACTTTCTGCCATGCAAAATGCCTGCACTTTTATTGGAGATGTCGTGTATTGCACATCGATGGACGAATACAGCCGACGATTAGCAACAAGATCGAACCGGCCCGCATATTTTCTTATGCTGCTGGCGTATAACATGAAAATTTTAAGTTTAGGGTTGCATTAAGCGAGCGGACATATTAAACGGCCCGTCGTTTATTATTTCAACAAACGGAGATCGAGATCGTTGTTTTGAGGCAGGGTTTGACGGGCACCAATTTTATCACACAAGACTTGGAGCAGAGAATTTTTAAGCTCATCTTTTGACTGCCCCACAATGACATCTTTTGCCGAAAATAGAACCACTTGAAGCTGTCTTACCTTGACGTCCGGGTGTAACGCCATCTTATCCATGAAAATGGGCAAATTTACTGCAGTAGAGGTCTTCAAGTCTGTCTTGTTCAAAACAACAATGGAGGGCCGATCTAGAAGCGACGCATCGTATGATTTCAATTCATTTCTTATGACCTCAAAATCTTGAAAGGGATCTTTTGAGCAAATATCGACCACATATGCAATGACCTTGGATCGATAGACATGCTTTAAAAAGGCATGTCCAAGCCCAATATTTAGGTGCGCTCCCTCAACAAGTCCAGGAAGATCTGCTATCTTCAGCGGCATATCTTGATAGTTCTCATTTGCCGGCTGCAACACGCCCAAATTCGGGTGAAGCGTAGTAAAGGGAACCGGCGAAATTCGTGGTCGAGCATTTGTGAGCGACGCTAAAATAGATGATTTTCCAGCATTTGGCATTCCAACGAGCCCAACATCTGCAATCGTCTTCAAGTCGAGCTGCAAAAAAACAGAAGATCCAAGATAGCCCGCTTCGGTCTCGTTGGGCGGGAATTTGCCGAGGTCCTTGTTTCCAAGCCCGCCTCGACCGCCACTTGCAACTTTGACCAGCATTTTTGGCCGCTCCATATCAATTTGGGCTATCAGAGAAAGTCTGCTCGCTTCGTATTCAATCGACTTTTTTTTCATAATTTTCGAAAGAGACGAAATGCCATCCCTGGCCACGGCATTAATGTCTGATGAGCTCAGAATGGTATTGAGGGCATGGTCTGCAGATGCCTGCGATGCGAGCGATTGCGGCCTATTGGCATCCTCAAATCGAAGCAGCGAAATTAGCGTCCCCACGGGCACCCTGATGATGATGTCTTTTCCTGCCCTTCCGGTGCACATGTTTTGGCCTCCGTTTTGCCCGTTTTCGGCCCTGACGTTTCGCGCTATTCGAAAATAAGAAGAGATATTTGGATCTGTCTTTAAATAAACATTTCCACCAGGACCGCCATTTCCGCCGTTTGGTTTTCCAAAGCCGGAGCGACCTGGGTGGCCAAATCCCAACCTTCCATTTCCACCGGTCCCGCCGACACATTTGATTCGGATGGTATCGAGAAATCGGGATCCCTTTCTCATTTTGTAAAAAAGCAATCTCTCTGAAAGAGAAGTGCGCCGAATAGACCGTTCCGAAATAAATGGGACAATGGATTTGGTTTTGCGAAGTGCTGAAGCCGCAGCGGCAACCTGACGAATGTCGGCTTCCGTGATGGGCCGAATTGCTCGACCTCTTTCGTTGGCAGGGATGTTGGTGAGATTTTCCTTGGATTCGGCCTGGGCATGGTGCGTATACTCGTATTTATGCCCCTTGACAACGGTGCACAAGTCAAATGACATGACATCTCCGCCGGATATCTTTTTACCGGGATTATCTGATGAGCCTGTTGCTCGAATCGATTTTTTGTATATTTTCCTCTTATATGAGGAAGGAGTGGAGGAAAACATTCTGGATACCCATGATTTAACGGTGGGCCGCATGTAAAAAGTACATGGCATTCGTTCGATGGCAAGTGGCTAAACGGAGATATCCAGAAAATTTTGTACCAACTTGCTCTTGTTTTCACCAATTAATTTATTGCAATTTTCGCCAATTTCAATGCACACAAGGTGTCATTGTTGAGGACACCATGGCCAGCTTGCAACATTACAAACCACACGCGAAACACTGGCATTAATGGATGCCCATACCATGGAGAGAGGGTATTTATTTTTAAAGTTAAAGGGTTAGGGGTGGTCTAGACCGGAGGTCAATATGGAGGCCAGACATTCCGAAAAAATGGGATTTTCTCTGATCCTGGTATTGAAGGTATCATAGTTTCCGCACAATAAAATGTGTGATACAAACTTGTACAGCTTTGGAAATAGTTTGGTCGTGGGAACACACGCGCATGGATTCGACTCGAATACAAACTGGTACATTGAGGTGAGAATATAGTCCTTCCACACCGTGCAGAACACATCGAAAGTGTTAGCAACCAGGGCACTATGGAAATTAAACAGAGATCAAGTGGCCGTACCTTTTGAAGATGTTGTCCAATTCTTCGTCCGTAGCACTCAAATGGCGGTTACAATATAAAAGTTGGCTCAACTCCACGCTTGAGGGTCTGTGTTGTTGTAAAACGTCCTCAATTAAAGCACTAAAGCGTTCAAAGGAAACGCATTCAATATTCTTGCAAGCAAAATCTCTAATATTAAAAGCCAGCGCATACATACATTGGAGTGATCGCATCAACGGAGGCGATTGTTTGCAACAAGCTAAATTTGATAAGATGGTCCTGAAACATCGACAACAGATAAACGCTGCTTTTGAATTGGTCTTCGTTTGGCTCTAACCCATAATTTGTCTTTAACTCGCAAAGATATTGTTCTCTGTTTAAAATTGAATATATCGGAAGGATGTGCGTAAAAATATATGGGGGGAAGATGAGAACCGTGATCAGCTGCTTCAAAACCAATAGCTGAAGGTCTTCCATTAAGGGGCCCACTGGCTTATTTGAAGATTGTCTTTCCTTAATAAGGATCTTCAAAGCCTCTACATCAAAGTTTTCCGCTATTTGCTCTTTAAGAAGCTTGAAATGCACCAAATGATTGGAGGAGAACATATTCAAGATGCGCTTATATCGGTCTAATAGGACTTGCTTGGAGACTTCAGATGGCGCAGTTATGCTTTTTACTAAAAACGACTCGGACAGAAACTTTGGAATGATACTAAAGAGTCCAGAGGCAATGGTGAACACAATTGATGGGTAAACTATCCATGGTTTATAAAACACGGCCATAAAATTGAAGTTCAATTTGAAATTAGTTTGAAATTAATTTGAAATTTGTTTGAAATTTTAGTTTGAAATTTGTCTTCACATGCATGCATTTTGACAACAATATTTTCCTCTCGCATTTGTTCCTCAATTCGATTTGTGAAAACGCGAATGGCAGGGATCGGATAGTAAAAAGCATACATTCCTCATTCAATCTTTGCAAACGGAGGTCTTTTTCCAACGGAATTTCGTTTTTTACCACCATGAAGGTTGATTTGAATGACAATTCCAAGTTGCTTTTGGGATCGCGTAATTGCGGCGTCTCTTTGGTTGATCTTAGCCCCATATATTCGCCTCCAAAGCTGGTCGCCAATGAGTACATATATCCAGAAAATAGCCGCCACACATGCACCTCTGTTGATTGGTTTTATGATTCCCAAATTTTTTTTACTGCAGATACCAATGGTCGATTGGTGGTTTGGAATAGTCAATCCTTTGTGGTACCGTTACCATCGTATTTTCACGCGTAGCCTGAATTTTCTTTTTTTCCATTTGGCGACCATGAGCATGGCAATGGCCATGCCGAGCGTGCCTTTTTATATGAGGCGTCCATGATATGCTCGGCTTGCCAAATGCCGGGCGAGGCCATTTTTTCTGTCATCACGGGTTCATATGCATCGCCGTGTGTTAAAATTTGTGACTTGAGGACGGGATCTTCGACCCATCTATTAAAAGGTAACTGCCAACGGTGCGTCAATTTATAGGTCATAAGGGTGGGATTACAAATGTTTCGTATAAACAAGCATCTGCTTTTGAATGCGTCTCTTCGAGGTTGCATTTGTGGTTTAATATTTAGTCTAGATGGGACGGTTCGTCTATGGGACATAAGAAAACCATCCGCACTTTCCATCTTTAAGCGATACGCACGCGATCAAAATATTTCAAACCATTTCCCCACTTCGTTTTGTTTCAGCTTGAACATGCCGTGCCGGTTATTCGTCATTTATAGCAATGGAGACATCGTAACGTGGGATACGCAGACCGGAAAAAATGTACATTTTCTATTTTGACGCCTTTTAGAGCGTCATATTTACAAGTGAAGCTGATGCAAGCTTGTCGTATTACCCACCAAAAATACAGACTTCCCCTTTGGATGATGGCATTATAATACATTCAAACAGGTCTGTATTGGACATTCGGAACTCCCAAACTGGAGATCGGATAAGCTCGCTTCGGCTCGGCCATACAGGATCCATTACCTCCTTTACCATGAACGCCAAATACGACGAGATTTATTCGGCCTCGCTGGAGGATTCTAAATTTTGCACCTGGAAATTCGTTAAGGACTAGCCTGTTTGTATATACAAAGTTTCCACGGCTCCCTCTTTTTGTCCTCAAATCGGCAGTTTTGAGTGCATGTCAATAAAAGAGCAGATGATTGACGGCCAAATGGGGATCGCCGTCCTATCTTTTAATTTCAATGTATCTGCAGATTTTATATTTTAATTTCAATGTCTGCCGGTGCTTGGAAAGAGCTGGGCATCACGTATGTATCGTTTTTGATTATATAAAGATATCTTCAATATTTGGAGCTATGTTCAAAAACTCTTCGAGGGTGCCTTAAACCAGAGCTGATGGCCGCTGCCATTCGTAGAGGCGAATCGATTCTCAAGTTCTCCAAATGGGAGTCCGGCAAGCAAGGGGAGCTCAGTAGCAAATTTTGATATTTTTATTCCGTTAGAAATTGTGCCAAACATTACATCAGAAGTGGCTAGAAAGAATGCAGCCTCCGGTTCGACCGACAATTAAACAACGAGCCAAGGCAGATGGCCGCTGCATGTTTACTCAGTTAAAATTTAAAATTTAAGTATTTTGATATTACATTGGGGGCATTAAATTTTTCATAAACGCCCAAAGTAAGTTTTGTTCTTGTCAGCAATGTCTTGATTTCGGATCATTTTAATCCATTGAATCTGCAGCTTTTAACACAGTTTCTAGATGGAAGCACCCATTGAATTTAGCAACTCGGCAAATATTTCCCTATGTGGAACCCTTAAGGGACACACAGACTCCGTAACGGCCATCGCCTGTCCAACACGTCCAGATGCAAACTACGTCGTTTCTGCATCCAGAGATAAGACCGTGATGATTTGGAACTTAACCCGCAATATGGAAAATTACGGAGTTCCAAAGAAGGCCCTCAAGGGGCATAACCACTTTATCCAAGACATGACTCTGTCCCCGGATGGCGAGTATGCACTGACCGCCTCGTGGGACAAGACCCTCCGCCTTTGGGATCTCAACGTCTGTGCGACAACTTCGACTTTTGTCGGACATAAACACGTAAGATTGTTCCTTTTTATTCCCTCCTCTTCGATAGGATGTAATGACGGTCTCCTTATCTCCTGATAACCGCCAAATTGTGTCCGGTTCTCGCGATAAGAGCATCAAGGTGTGGAACATAAAGGGAGAATGCAGATACACCATCGATGATGCCCACTCCGAATGGGTTTCCTCTGTTCGTTTCTCTCCAAACGCAGCAAATCCGCTTCTCGTTTGTTGCGGTTGGGATAAGGTTGTAAAGGTGTGGGACACCACCTCCATGAAGCTTACGGCCAACCATCTCGGCCATTCTGGCTACATTAACACCTCCATGATTTCACCTGATGGTTCTCTCTGCGCCACCGGTGGAAAAGACGGTAAAGTTATGCTTTGGGATCTCAATGAGCGTCAATTTTTATACTCCCGAGATGCTGGTGATGAGATCAATGCCCTTGTCTTTTCGCCATCTCGCTACTGGCTTACTGCGGCCACTGCATCTGGAATCATGATTTGGGACTTGGAAACCAAGAATTTGGTTGCCGAACTCACTGCTGAATTCCCATCGCTTGGGCCAAAGTCCATTGCTCCCTCGTGTGTTTCTCTGGCCTGGAGCGCTGATGGAACCACCCTTTACTCCGGATTCACTGATGGAATCATTCGTGTGTACCAGGTCAATGCTTAGGCTATTTATAGCGGTTAATAAACGCACTTCCTGTCAATAACCCCAATTTTACCATCCTTAAGTGAAGTTCATCCAGTGTGTTGATGGTGGAAAATGTGCTGTCCTTTCACCGTGCTTTGTGTGCGCGTCTGATGTCGATGCATGTACACAAAATGCGGCCATCAGAAAAATCGTTATCCACAGCTTAAAGGGCCAATCTTCCGTCTTTCGGCATCGTAACACGTTGTTGCAAAGTTTACAAGGTTTGTGATGGCGATATATGCAGCCTACACAGGTTTCGTTGACAGCCATCAATTCAAGTACTACATGGCGATGGGGAACCCGTTTGCGTTTTTACAGTGCGAATGTGCGCTTATTCGGTTGACGTCTTAATTTGGCACTTTCTATCAAAGTTTGATCAGTGGCCCCTATCAAACAATTCATAATACGTTGTAATGGTGATGCAATTTTTATTGTTTCCTCAGAAATGGATTTCCGCGGTCGCGTTGCTATTATCACGGGCGCTGGGGGCGGTATGACATCGCCATGCCAACTATGTAGGCCTTGGTAAGGCGTATGCCTTATATCTGGCATCCCTGGGCGCTGCCATTGTCGTCAATGACCTTGGTGGCTCAGTAACTGGGGATCGTCTTGCTTCTGACAAAGACAGTCCTGCCGATCTTGTCGTGGCACAAATCAGGGCCTCCGGGGGCATGGCCATTGCTGATAAGCATTCCGTTTCGAGCGAGGCAGAAGGCATTATTCAAACAGCACTGTCAAACTTTGGACGCATCGATATTGTCATTAATAATGCCGGCATCATTAGAGACAAGAGCTTTCTTAAGCTTACCGATTCAGACTGGGTTTGGTTTTGGGGCTTTTTTTAGGACTCCGTTATTGATGTGCATTTGTATGGCTCTTTTGCAGTAACTAGAGCCGCCTGGCCCCATTTGATGCATCAACGATTCGGTAGAATCATCATGACGGCATCTGCTGCTGGCTTGTACGGAAATTTTGGCCAGGCAAACTATTCTGCTGCCAAAATGGCACTTATCGGCTTTGCTAAAAGCCTTGCACTTGAGGGCTCAAAATATAATGTCACTTGTAATGTCCTTGCTCCTCTTGCTGCTACAAGAATTTCGGAGACCGCGTTCCCTCAAGAGGTTTTAAACGTCCTAAAACCAGAGGCTTTAGCCCCTCTGGTTGCCTATTTGGTCCATGAAAAAACAACACACGAGAATGGATCCGTTTTTGAATCTGCTGGTGGGTGTATAACAAAGCTACGATATCAAAGGTCTGCTGGAATTCTGATCAATGCCAGCGAGAAGAACCCCACACCTGTTTCTGACCTCTTGCTCAACTTTAAGAAAATTGAAGACTTTTCTGCTGATCCCACATATCCGTCTTCGATCACGGACACTCCCTGGATGAATCTTATCGAAAAAAGCTCAAAAGCTACCACCAAGGCTAGTGGAAAAAGCCATGATGATAAAATCTTATCTGGACAAGTGATTGTTGTAACGGGAGCAGGAGGGGGGCTTGGAAAGGCATATGCGCTTCTTTTATCATCTCTTGGAGCATCTGTTCTTGTCAATGACCTCAGTGAAAAAGCGGCGTCAAATGTTGTTTCCCAAATTCAAGCTAAAGGGGGCGTTGCAGAGGCAAATTTCAGCAATGTTGTCACCCAAGGCAAAGAAATTGTAGACCACGCAATGCGTAGATTTGGGCGGCTTGATGCAATCGTTAATAATGCCGGCATTTTGAGAGACAAGTCTTTTTTGAAGCAGAGTGCGGAAACCTGGAAAGTTGTGATCGATGTGCATTTACGAGGAACTTATTGCCTTTGTCACGCCGCTTGGCCCGTTTTTATGAAACAAAATCATGGTCGTATCATCAATACCACGAGTGCTGTGGGGTTGTATGGAAATTTCGGTCAGTCAAATTATGCTGCAGCAAAGGCTGGCATCATCGGATTGTCAAAGACCCTTGCTATTGAAGGGGCAAGGCATAATATCAAGGTCAACGTTATTGCCCCAAATGCAGGGACCGCAATGACGGCTACTGTGATGCCCAATGAGATGGTTGAGATTCTGAAGCCCTCCTATGTGGCCCCATTGGTTGCCATTTTAGCCTCCAAGGAGCACTGCTCCACAAGCGGCGCTGTTTTTGAAGCGGGATCTGGTTGGTTTTCCATGGTTCGTCTAGAAAGAAGCAAAGGAGTAATGATGAATCCCGGATTTGGACTTGCCGATATTTCGAGCGCATGGCCCCAGATTACAAAATTTGGCGATCAGAACTCTATCTTTCCATCTACTATCCAGGGGTCCATTGAACCAATATTGGCGGCGATTCAGTCGAAAACTGCTGCTACTGCTGGCCAATCATCTGGGGACGAGACTGTCTTTTCTTACACTGAAAAGGATGTTATTCTTTATGCATTGGGAATAGGGTTCAATGCACAGCAACTGAACTGGGTCTACGAAAGAGATAGCAATTTTAGCGTCTTTCCTACTTTTGGGGTAATTCCTGGATTATCTGCTCTATTTACTAAAGACGGAACTGGACCATCCAGTTGGGCGGATGCCATTCCCAAGTTCAACTTGATGTCTCTGCTTCATGGAGAACAAAAACTTGAAATTTTCAATCCCATCCCAGTCAAGGCTACATTGGTCTCGCATGTTTCCATTGTCAGCATTGCTCAAAAGGGTCCAAATGCTCTTATCGTACTGCGAGTGGAAAGTAAAGAAAGGTCTTCTGGGAAGCTTATATTTGCAAACGAGTCGACCTTATTTATTAGAGGCATCAAGCTCTCGTCTCAGCAAGTTAAGGTTGCAAAAGGAATTCCAGAAAAATTGCCTTTCCAGTCGGATGCAATTAAAAAAACCATCAAAAAATCGTCCACCACTGCGGAAGGACAAGCAGCTCTTTATAGATTGTGTGGAGATTTGAATCCACTTCATATTGACCCATCAATGGCCGCTATGGGTGGGTTTAAGAAACCCATTTTACATGGGCTATGCACTTTTGGAATTTCCGCACGCCAAATAGTTGAGGCGTTGGGTGGTCCCAACGCTGTTTGTCTAAACATGATAAAGGGAAGATTTTCTCGCCCCGTATATCCAGGAGAAACGCTCGTCAACAATGTTCAAATAAGGGCTGAAGAAGGAAATCAGATTCACGTCACTTTTGATGTCTGCACATCCACCGATTCGGCACCTGTCTTGAGCAATGGGTATGCAATTTTAACGAGCTCTGCAGCAAACCAGCCACAACCATCACCATCCCAGAATGCCAAAAATAAGCCTTTAGAAACGGTTTCCAAAATGGTGGAAGGATGGAACCTATTGCCTGCGGCCGAAAAAGACGAACTTGTTGAAAAGGTGAGTGCAACTTTTCGCTAACAACAATAGTTTAACTCGGTCATTAAGTTTGACATTGAAGCAACTGAGTCGGTTTGGTTTATCCTTAAGAAGGTCGATGGCATCCCAGTTGGTGTGCAAACCAATCTTAAGGGGGCGGGCTCGGTGAAGCCGGATCTCTCGCTAAAATTGAGCGAGGACACGCTTTCTGCCCTCTTTGCTGGATCGCTTTCACCCCAACAAGCCTTTCTAAAGGGCAAGGTCAAGCTTACTGGAAAAATGGGTCTTGCAATGAATCTGGAGGTTATTCTCAAAAAGTTGAAGAAAACCGCGTCAAGCAAATTGTAGGAGCAATGTCTGTCAGAGGGACGTGCGAATTTTCGAATGGCAATAAATTTATTCTTGGTCAATCCAAGCGGCAATAGATTTATTACGGGTTGTTGACCCTCTTTGGTGCCCCAGTAGCCCTTGTTGCACTGGCTACTTTTCGCGACAGAGCGATCCAGGCACAACTCTAAACATCATTCTTGAAAAGTCTCTATCAATTCCAGCTGTAACAATGTCGCCGATCTTTATTGGACCAACACCAGCAGGAGTTCCTAAAAATTACAGGAAGAACATACCTGTTAGAATTAGATCTCCCTGTTCAAGCCTCATAAGCGATGAAATGGTTTGGATAAGCTCTGGTATTTTAAGAAGCATTTTAGATGTATTCACTTCTTGGCGAAGCTGGCCATTAACTCTGAGCCACAGATTTAGATCCTGGGGATCCAGAATATTTTGTTTGGGGATATACTCGCTACCGAAAAATTGAACACTAAATATACCCCACTGGACAAAAGGTATCAAAGCCCTTGGAGATGCTCCAGGGAAGACCCGACTTTGCTGCTTCGTTCTGCAAAGTACGAGCAGTAAGATCAATTGCAAGGCAGTATCCTGCGATTGTGTTCATCGCATATTCAGCTTTGATATTGCGACCAGCGTTTTCACCAATAATTATGCCCAGTTCAACTTCATGCTCAAAGTCCGATTCAACTTGGACCGGTAACCGAATGGGATTTGGTTGCTGCACCAACGACGATGTTGGTTTCAAGCAAAAGAAGAATGGATTTTGCCTCAATGGCTCGACAGGGCTTGATTGGAGCCTTTCTTTTAGATGGCATCTAAAGATTTATCATAAACCGTGTACTCATAATTGCGACCAACAGCAATAATCTTTTTACCATATCGTATAAAATCCCTCATTTCAAAAAAGAATCCGGCATGATGCGGGTATTGGCTATAATTGTAATATATATTTAAATTAAAATATTTTATCAGCTCAACATCTACGGCCATACACACTGGAAAACACCGGGTCTCGTCCGATCCCCGAAGTCAAGCCAGTGCTGGCGCAGTCAGTACTATGATGGGTGACCGCATGGGAATACTGCGTGCTGTAGGTTCTATCTTTTTCTGTTTTTTCACAGCGCTAATTTTAATTGTTTACTTTTCAAAATGCACATG